TCCTGGCCTCAAGTGATCCTCCTGCCTTGGCTTCCCAAAGTGCTGGGATGACAGGGATGAGCCACTTCCCCCAACTAGTATATTTTTCTTTGTTATGAGTAGATAAATCAATGGTGCATCTTACAGTCATCATCCCAGATTTGATGAAAATGGTTTGTGTTTAGTCTTTGGACTTTTCGAGAGACGTGTTTGGCAGAAAGTTGAGTCCCACTGAATTTTTCCTCTGCTCAAATAAGATAAATTTGAAGTTGTTTTGTATTCCTTATACTTGGGTTATGAAGAGAAATAAAAGACAGTTGTTTATTTTCCAAGTACTTCATTGTGAATTGTTTTTAAAATTACAAAAGTAATGGCCAGGCACAGAGGCTCATGCCTGTAATCCTAGCACTTTGGGAGGCCAAAATGGGAGGATCGCTCGAGGCCAGGAGTTTAAGACCAGCCTGAGCAACATAGTGAGACCCCACCTCTACAAAAAAATAGGTTAAAAAAAAATTAGCGGAGTGTGGGGGCATGTGCCTGGAGTCCCAGCTGCTTGGGAGGCTGAGGCAGGAGAATTGCTTAAACCCAGGAGTTTGATGTTGCTGTGAGCTATGATGATACCACTGTACTCCAGCCTGAGCGGCAGAGTAAGACCCTTTCTCAAAAAGAAAAAAAATGACAAAATAGTGCCATGTTTTAGAATTTCACTTTTGCAAGATGGAAAGAGTTCTGGAGATGATGGATGGTGGTGATGGTTGCACAACATTGTTAAGGCCACTGAACTTACACTTGAAAATGGTTAAGGTGATAAATTTTACGTCATGTATCTTTTATCACAAAAAAGTTTTTCAAAAACAAGTAATGTGATAGTCATAAAATTTTCCCTCATTATAGAGATGCCTAGAACAAAAAGTGAAAGGCATCTTTACCCATGCTTCCTCTGGCCCCTCCCAATTTCCCTACTTCCGTACCTCTTCCCCAGAGATTTGGTGTATATCTTTTCAGATATTTCTCTTCCAAGACTTTCCATTAAAGATTTGTGTGGGTTTCATTGATCCTTCAAGTCACTTTTTCATGGTAGTATATACAGTTGTAACAGTTAAGTAAAATTTAAAAAAAAAAAAAAAAAAACAGAACATAATTTGGGAACTGTGCTTTTTTTATCTTAAGATTAAATTTACTGTTTAATTTATTCTCCATGATATGTTTTTCCTGGAAGTAGTCTGCACAAATGAATTATTGTGGCTAAGCTACTTGGGCTTTTAATACATACCTGGAAGAAAGTATAAGGAAAAGTGCAACTGATAACCTTAAATTAGTTGTTCAGCAGGAGTCGTTACTTTGTTTCTGTCCAATTGACCACTCATCTTTCCTCTGTCAATGGGTGAACAGTGGGCTAACAATTTGATTTTTTTGTTGTCGTTTGTTTTATAGAGCTGAGGAATTTGTAGGTAGGAAGTTGATGGTATCAGAAAATTAACCCACATACGTAGACCTTGGTGCCCTTCTGGTTTTTGGCCATAACTAGAACTTACAATAGCTATCCTGGAAGTATTTTAACACTTCATCTTTCTTTTTAGTTGGGGTTCTTTGTTTCAGACTTTGCAATACCTGATAGCCTTGGCTTCCATTAAGAGGAAGCAAGTAGATCAAGTGTTCATCGTCCTCTTGAATGTAGCGATTCAAAATGATCAGATATGTGAATTCCTGAAAATAAGAAGCTTGAAATAAACTGTTCTCTAACTGATATTTATTTCAATTCCAGAACGTGGTCCAAGACAATTCCTGGGAAGGTTGAATTCTTCTCTAGTGAAGGTTCAGACACATCTCTACCAATTCCAATAGTGCCACTACGGGGCGTGGATGACTCCTACCCTCCCCAGAAGAAGTCTTTCATGATGCTCAAGTACATGCATGACCACTACTTGGACAAGTATGAATGGTTTATGAGAGCAGATGATGATGTTTACATCAAAGGAGATCGTCTGGAGAATTTTCTGAGGAGTTTGAATAGCAGCGAGCCCCTCTTTCTTGGGCAGACAGGACTGGGCACTACAGAAGAAATGGGAAAACTGGCCCTTGAGCCTGGTGAGAACTTCTGCATGGGGGGGCCTGGTGTGATCATGAGCCGGGAGGTACTTCGGAGAATGGTACCACACATTGGCAAGTGTCTCCGGGAAATGTACACCACCCATGAGGACGTGGAGGTGGGAAGATGTGTCCGGAGGTTTGCAGGGGTGCAGTGTGTCTGGTCTTATGAGGTAAGAACAAAATGTTTTACTGTGGGAAAAACTATTAATTTTGTCATTAGTTCTTTTTTTTTTTTTTATTTCAATTCCCCTTATTACCTTTTCTCTTGGTTTTTACAGCATACCTTCCATACTTTTATCCTAATACCTTGGTTAATAAATAATGGCACTTGGGGCCTAAAGAAAAGATATGGTTTGCTGATGGTCACAGTGATATTTTCGTGATTATCCGGAAAATCATCTTATCAGACTTCTGCTGGTTCTACAGCTGAAATTGCAAGAGTGTAGTACGTTTCCCTGACTCTGTTCTCCCGAAGGCCTGACTGTTCTTGTCTGGTCATGATGACCCACACAGATAAGAAACTTACGTGTTTTGAATTTATAAAATGATTCGTGATGTGAAAAAGCCAATAGCTTGTGGCTTTGCATTTATTTTGAGCCTTGACTTCTCAGATGGTTATTGTAATCTGTGCCTTTACAATTATAGTTGTTCCTTTCAGAATAGGTGGTCTGCATTTTGTGAGTTACCTTGACACATAAGTGAAATTTGTTGAAGAAAGTAGGAAATCTGCTTGCTGACTTTTTAATAGTTCTACAGACTATGAGTTAGCTTTGGACTTTTCTCTGTTATTATTGGCAGGTGTGCTTCTCTTGTCCTCAGTTGCAGGATCCTAATGGTTAGAGTGAAAAAAATTACTTAGATTGTATTGTGTTTAGGTTGATAAACTGATTGTATTTGTAAGGAACAGAGGCAGTTGCTAGATCTTTTGCCCAAGAAAAAGAATGAACTTTCTGTTTTTTTATTTATTTTATTTTTTAATGTCTTCTTTTTTGTCCCCCACAGATCATTCATAAGGAAAGGAATGCACTTTCTGATGTGAACTGTTAGGTCTTTTTCTCCACTCCCCCGCCCACCTTTTTTAAGAGATAGGGTCTCACTCTGTCACTCAGGCCTGGAGTACAGTGGCACAATCATTGCTCAGTGCAGCCTCGAACTCCTGGGCTCAAGCGATCCTCCTACCTTAGCCTCCCAAGTAGCTGGGACTACAGGTGCACACAACCACACCTAGCTAATTATTTTTTTGTAGAGATGGGTGTCTCACTATTTTGCTCAGGCTGGTGTCAAACTCCTGGCCTCAAGCTACCCTCTGCCTTGGCCTCCCAAAGTGCGGGGATTATAGGCGTGAGCCACTGTGCCTGGCCTTAGCTCTTTTTTGAGTTAATTTTCTAAAGTCATACTTAAGTGAAGAAATAGTATTCTTGCCTGTACTTGTCTTCCCCCCAGACTTGCTTTTAAATGTCTTCTAATCACTCTGTTTTCTTTTGTTTGAACTTCCAAGGAAGTGGACATTTTCAAGTGTACAGGGAGTGGTCTTCATGTAATTTTTAATTATGAAGTCATAAAGGTACACTTTAAATTGTAAATGTGATCTGAGTGAACCCCTTATTCTCTGTGTGCCTTACGCTCTCCCCCAGCCCCCATGCACAGGGGCTGGTTCACTGGGCCTAGGGGATTTCTAGGGGGTCGCGTATTTTTGTGGTGAGGAAGGCTGTTTGAGGATTTCATGCTGTTTTAAGCATTATACAACTGGCAGTATTTCTGCATTTTCTCCATCCTTAATTAAGTCGTTACAACCTTAATATATTTCATTATAGGTAAAATATGTAATGCTTTGACACTTTCCCCTGATCTGATCTCTGAGAAGCTGGCCTTCTTGCTGGAACTGTAGAAGATAGGCCTATTTTTGAGAGAAAATTTTTAAAAATATGTCTCAGTATAGTCATGTTATATACTGCTAGACAGACACCAGTAGAGCCAGTATCTTGATATCAAGAACTTTGCTCTAGCTTTAGTACTCAGGTATACTTAGACAACATCATCCTGGGGTTGCAGGGTTCGGAGGCTGTTTGGGGCTAGTTTCCTCTGATATGATATAATCAGCAGAGGTTTCTAACACACCAAGAAGGGTGCCTAGAATTATCCTGTCTGGACACTTGAAGCTACCCCTAAGACTCGATGCATGCTGTCAGTGGCCTTATTAGCTAAAGGGACCTGGTTGGTGAGGCAGCTCCCTCCCTGGGTGGTTCCTTGTTTCCCCACTGTGGGCGCTGCAGCAGGGAGGACCTCCCTGGAGTGTGGGTAGTCGGGGTATGCCTGCTGCTCTGCATTACTTTAAATGCCATATGATGACTGAGCTTTTGCTAGATACTGCTGGCTTGCTCTCTGGTGGCTGGTGCTGGATGCCCTCCCACCAGCAGTGCCCAGAGTTCTTTTTTCCTCTTCTGCGAGTTGTCTATTCATAGCCTTGGCCCCTTTTTCTGTTGGAATGTTGTCTGTTTTATGGTTTTGTTGGAGTGCTTTATTTTGGGTAGCGTATCTTCTCCCAGATTGTGGCTTGTCTTTTTTTTTATTTTTTATTTTATTCCAATAGAAAGGGGAAAACTGATGATTCACAAAAAGTAGGAGGTTTGCTAAAGCCATGTCTTCA